TCTTGCTTAATTTAGTCCCTCAGCAGTTCCCGTTGTGCTTAAAATCATACCTAATGGCCTTGGACTGTTTGCATAGCTCCTGCCTGTTTCTCCAAATGTTTTCCTGCCCACCACGTTCCCCAAACTCAGCACAGACTGCCTTCTGCTTCTGCGAAGACTCTCTTGCCCTACAGTTAGTTCTATCCAAATTTAAGGTCTTTGTTTAAGTGTCCTTTTATTAGGGGGTCTTACCTGGCCACACTAAATTGGGGTCATTTCTGTCGTTTTCTTTTTCTCCCTTTTGTGTTTTTTTTTTTTTTTTTAGTACTGGAGCTTGAACTCAGGGACTTCACCTTGAGCCACCCTACCAGCACTATTTTTGTGAAGGATTTTTTAAGATAGTGTCTCGCAAACTATTTGCTCAGTGTGGCTTTGAACCATGATTCTCCTGATCTCTGCCTTCTGAGTAGCTAGGATTACAGGTGTGAGCCACCAGTGCCCAGCTCCCTTTTGTGTTCTTAATAGCATGAGTCACTAGTCATTGTTTGTTTGCTTTTTTTCGGGTCTGTGTTCACTAAAACGTAAGTACCATGGGGCAGAGCCTATGTTGGACTTGCTCATGACATATCAACACTTGTCAGTAGTCTTCAGTAGGTGACAAGAAATATTTATAAAACAGGCTGGGTGCAGTGGTTCCCAGCTACTGCACCCAGCTATTTGGGAGGATCAAGATTCAAGGCTAGCCTGAGTGAAAAGTTAGTGATACCTCCTATTTCAATCAATAAGCTGGTTATGGCTGTGCACGCCTGTTACTTGGCTACACAGAAGAGTAGGTAAGAGGATCATGGTTGGAGGCCAATACTGGGCAAAACATGAGACACTACATGAAAAACAAAGCAAAAAAACCCCACAAAAACCAGAATGGGGGCTCAAGTGGTAGAGCCCTGCCTAGCAAGCATGAGGCCCTGAATTCAAACCTCAGTGCTGCGACATAAATATGGGACAAGTGAGGGAGGCAGGCAAGTTGTCAGGAGCTCAGCAGGGTGTATCTGTTGGTATCTCTCAGGGTTAGCATGAAAAAACCTATTTTCACATGGTTAGATGGACCTAAATAGAGTTTGGTCACAAAGAAAAAAATTGGAGAATAATTCTGAAGGTTAAATAGTCTAAAAATTTCAGGAATTCTGTGCCTGTTTGGTAAACATAGTTTTCCTTTTGTTTATTCAGCTAATTTGAGTGCTGTTGGTAAGTGACTGTGAATTTTCTACCTCAGCTATCCACCTTAGTTTAAAAGATTTCTTTCTGAAACTACTTGAATCTCCAGGGAAGGGTAGTGTGGCTGATCAGGATTCATGGCCCCACTGAGTGGCTGGTGAGCGTGTGGGTCAGTGTCTAATACTGAGCAGCCAACACTGACTGGGCCTCTACAGGTACATTTACAGCATGTTCTCTCTGGCAACTTTCTGGCATCGCCTGATTACCAGCATTTAAGATTTAAAATGCCTGCTGAAGATGACTATTGTCTTGTGAATTCTTTATGACTGCAGCCATTTTGTATGAGTTTATAGGAAGACATTGTTTTGGACCATGAGGGTTATCAGCAAGTCTTCAGAGTAGATCACATCTTTCAGATCACCTCCTTGGAGCAGTATTTAAATGCCCATTCCTTTTAAGAAACACAGAGCTGCTTCCTGAGCAAATCACCCCTTCCTCCTAGTGTATAAGTACTTTTTGATAATCTTGAAATATTTTGAAAACTTAATGTTTAAATGCCCTTTCAAATCTTTTTACTTTATATCATCACAGTTAATCTATCCTTCTAAACTAAGAATTATGTGAAGTTGTAATTTAATTGAAAGAATCAAGTCACTGTAATTATAATGTAAGACCTGCTATCAGCTTGGGTTACTGAAAGTGTGGAAGGTGAACTTACAGGATTTCTAGATTTTAAAGGACTTCTTTAGGTCTGGTTCTATAAAACTGAGGTGGTCAGGCAACCCTTAAAGAAAGACTCAAAAATGGTCAAATGAAAGTCCTTTGGTGCTGTGCTGGCAGTTTCCAACTTTAGGTATTGTTGGAAGAATACATTTCCCCAGAAGCTAGTTAGCCACAGCAGCACTCTTGCAATCCCCTCTCCTCATTCCACTGGCCCTAGGAAGTGGGAATGGAGGAGTAGGGGAAGAAAGGCAGACCAACACATGTGACAGGGTGTCCTGAGCCTTTTTGTATCCTCTTAGCCCGGCCACCCACTCTTGGAATATTCAAGTCATTTGACTCCTTGGACACTCAGATTACTCATCTGTAAAATGAATGGATTGAACAAAATCATTTCCAAGGTTCCTTTAAGCTCTGATGTCATGTGATTGGGATTTCTGGGTCCTAGGTCAGCATGTGGGCAGAAGTTCAGATGGCAGAAGTGTGTGGGTGGTCAGGCAAGTGTACTTACAACCTTTGCATATTTTCATGAGTTCTCACCAGTTCACATTGGATAACCAAGAGCAGTTCCACACTGTCAACAAAACATTTTGGTATTCTTATGGGAAAGAATTTTCAGTTTTGTAACTGAGGTCATTGAAAACAATTTAATTTGTGCCCTTTTGACATCACCTCATCATTCCTTAAGCACTCCATTATTTTCTGTTGCAAAAAGATGTTCCAGGCTCATCTCATAATTTCCCTGTTGCAATCCTGTAGCCAGCCAACCTCCTGGAGAGTCCTGATTCTATTGAGTGGGAATGGAATTAGGTATGCCCCTGCAAAATGGAGTTCTCCTATTTTGTGGTCAGAACTAGGAAATGTATGTTTTTTTGGAAGTTGGGTAATACCTCTAGGTCCAGCTTACCACCATAGAGCTTTTCCTCTTCCTCCATGTGGTAAGTTTGTATATTCCTTCCCCTATAATATAGGTTGTAACTCCTAGCATCAGTGTATTTACTCCTTTGCTTACTGCTATAGTACTTGCAAAATGGGGTGCAAAATTTTCACCACCACCAATAACAAACCTACTATAAAATATTCTAGATTTATTTGCAATTCTCTGTTCCTCAAGAATGTGTCCTATTGAAGATGTACATCCACTTAAATCTTAAAGATATTGTTCCCTTCTCTGCAATAGTTCTCTTCTGGCAATTGTGCCTTTCTTTGATATGTTCCTTTCTAACAATACTTTCCTAAGCTAAATGAATTACCAATTCTCTAGGAGTTAAGTATAACTTTATTCATATGTGAATAAAGTATATAATACATATAGCCACTTGATAATATAATTTTATATATGTCATATATTTATCAAACCTTTCTATATAAAAGCCTTACTAAATTCCTTTTGTATGTATGTTCATATAGTCTTTATTGTTTATATGTACTTTTTTTTTTTCCCTTTGGTGGAACTGAGGGCCTCACACTTGCTAGGCAGGTCCTCTATCACTTGAGCGGTTCCACCAGCCCTACTTTTTAATTCACATGACCAAAGGTCCCTTGTTTTCTTGGTCTCAAGCTTCACTAGTGTTTTACATTAGGATCATTAGGTAATGAGAATTGTGGATTTCAACTTTTTTTTTTTTCATTTTAAGAATTGGGTAGCCTACCAAAACCATTATTTATGAGTTTTCTTTGATGGTGTCATTGTGAACTTCTTTTTTTTTTTTGGAGGGGGTGGTTCTAGGGTTTGCTCAGCAGGCATGATTGTGGTGTGAAAATTCTAGTTAAGCATTAAAAACATAAAACAAAAACAAAAGTTAAATGTACACCTGTAATTCCAGCTACTTGGAAGGTGGAGGTGGGAGGATCATGAGTTCAAGACCAGCTCCTGCAAAGTTAGACCATGTATAAGAAATAAAATATGAAAAACAAAAGGCTTGGAGGCATGACTGAAGTGGTAGAATACATGCCTAGCATTAGAAAGGCCCTGGGTTCAATCCCCAGTACTACCAAAATAAATAAAGTCACAAGATTGAAAACTACCACCATGGAGCATGCACACCTGAGGGTAACGGGCTGGGAGAAGAAATGAGAGGAAAGTGTTGGGGTGAGGGAAGGCTGTGCAGCCAAATGTGTGTATGCACCTAGGACAGTGACATTGAAGAAGTATAGACGGGCTGGAGGTGGAGCTCAAGTGGTAGAGTGCCTAGCAGGTGCAAAGCCCTGCGTTCAAACTCCAGTACTACCATCAAACAAAAAAGTTAAAAACATTAAATTTTCTAGTATCCAACATAAAAGTGTTATCTGTTCTTTTTGTTATTTAATAAACGATTCTTCCTTAAAAATTGCTGCCTTTGTTTTAAAAGTATGTTTTAGTTACCCAAATTGACAGAAATGTATGTTACACATATGCCTGTTCTAATTTTTGTTGTTGTTGTTAGTTTTTGACATGAGGCCTTGTTATGCAGCATAGGCTGGCCTGGACTGAGAGTGAAAGCCTCCTGCCTCAGCCCGCTGGCTGAGCACTCCACTGAGTGCTGGGGTTATGGGAGTATGCTACCACACCCAGGCAGTTCTCTTTATTTTTTGGATGATTCTTTATTGGAAGAATCACTAAATTGCATAGTTTTAGCTAATCATGTATATAAAAAAACAGCCATCCTGTATTAAGAAAAATATGAGTTTGAAACTTTTCTGCTTTCATTGAAATGATCACTGTGCCTTTAAAGTTGAAGAGCCCCAAGAGTCTTTTAAAGGTTTCTAAAAGCATGTTTTAAATGCCTTTAAAGTATTTTAAGGTATTTAAAGAAGAAAGCAAGACTTTAAAAGTATTTTCTTTTCCTTTGATTAATTTATATATATGCATATTGAATATGTGTGTAAGGTTTAGATCTTTTTACAATTAAACATAGTTTTCCCATTTTTTATGGTATATTTAAACTTAAGTCTCTGAACAAGACCTTTTAGATACTTGTAATTCTAGGCACTTCCTATTTGCATAGATATATTCATAGTTACAGTAAAGTAGCTCAAATATATTTATCAATTATTTAAATAAACCTAAAATCTTGTGAAAATAACTTTTTGTATTTTTATTACAGGTAAATTGGGATATTCACAATGTACAGAAACAGAGGTAAGAGAAACGCTCAACTGTGTCTAGTAACCCAGCTTTGCAGTTCTGTTTAGAGGAATGTGAGTAGCCAACTATCTCACTGTGGTTTCTCGGTTTTCTGATGGGAACGTGTTGAGAACAGGTAATACCTTCTATTCAAAGGAAGAGTAAACCGTGACAAAAAATCAGTTACCTTGTCCACATGTTCACATTTATGTCCGAGTGTATTATAAGGAGTAACTTAAACATAGCTTTATATTTTTCCTATATTTGTGGAACTGAGTTAGTTAAGGTCCAGAGCCCTTGAATTTACATTCAGTTTATTTTTTCACAACCCAATTCTAGTTTAATAAAAACATCGCTTAAATGTGTTGGACTCCATGGCGCTGCCTTAATGTAGGAAAAAAAATAGGGGTATGCAAGATGTTTTAGTGAGATTAATAACAAATTAAATGCTTTGTTTTTTATACAGTAGGCTTATTTTAAAAAATAATTTAAATAATTTTATCCATAATTTTGATTGTAAAGCCTATGGAGTTTTGTGTGATTTCTGGGCTCCTTGCAGGAGCTTCCAGGGTAGCTCTGAAATGCGGGGCAGCGTGTATGGGTACTTTTTTCATAGGCAGAGCTTCATCCTTAGATTGGGGGTGTGAGGTGCTTTGTTAATACCTAAATGCAGGGTTTAGGAAATTGTATTTCTAGTTTTATAATCTACTGTATATTAATGTAGGACTTTTTTTTGTTTGTTTGTGGCATCGGGGTTTGATCTCAGGTCTCAGAGCCTCATGCTTGCTAAGCAGACACTTTATCACTTGAGAGCCACTCAGCCAGCAGGACGTAGTAAATTTTAACTGTTGTTTTCAGTTAAAATGCAAGCTTCCTAAGGGATTATAATATATTCCTTTTTGCATACAGTTCATTTTTGTATTTTCTATTCAACTTTAAAAGTAGAGATAACTTTTCCAAATTAGTTCTTTTAGGACTAATTTATTTGTTCTAAATAGATCACTTTTTAAGGTACATAATTTCTTATGTATTTTTAATAAGAACTTAATATTTTTATATTGCTACAATTTTTGATGTACTGTTCATCAAGAAGTAGATTCAATTTGAGCTAAAAGAAGCTTTGTTTTTGGTGTCTGGGTGTGCATCTTTCTCACTGCAATTTTGAGCGAGTATTTTTTGCTCTCTCAGAAATTGGTGTTTCTTACAAAGAAAATGTTGATGATTATCCCTAGTGACCTCATAGGGTTGTGAAATTTTAAGAAGTTAATGTATGTGAAAATGCTTCATTAACCCTAAAGGCATGACTGTAAATCAAGATGGTACAAATATAGTCAGCATTCATCTGCATTTAGGTATTGAAGTGTGGGGATTTTATACACAAGGCATTGTTATAAGTCACATTATTTTGTCTTACTATATTGTATTAATAATTCTGTCATATTGCTCTAAAATCAAGATGGTTTTGACATTAGTTTAGTACCTGAGATGATGACTGTCAACTTCATACAGAAGCAGAAGCAGACATGAGTTCTGGCTGACTGTTATTGAGCCCCTTAGAGAGTTCTGAAAAATCAGAAAACAGTGCCACCCCTTCATTCTTTTGAAGATAGTTTTCTCATGAAAGTGTTATTTATGTTAACACATTATAGGTTTATTAGTGAGTGTGTTCAGATTTCCGTGTTGATAGATTATAGCTCATATGCACAAAGGTCTTTGGCCCCCTCACTGATCTTTGGAGTGTAAAGGTTCTAAGGTCAAGGTGAGCATGGATGCAGCTCCTCCTGGGAAAGGTGTGGGGGACCAGGAGGCAGGGAGTCCAGCCAGCATGCCCACGAGGCCCGATGGGGGCAGACCACCTGTATCAGAGAGCGTGCATCCGCAGCTGCTGCCTTATCTCTGTAGTACATGAGAGTTAGTCCCCTAGCCACGGTGCTTCTGAGTGCTGGTCTCCGGGGCTAAAACTCCTTTTCCTGAATTCACAGAAATTGAGCTGAGAGAAAGCAAGGAGACCACACAGAGCTATTGAGTCAAACTTTGAGACCTCTCACCTAAACATCAGCTAATGTTTGTTGTTGTTTTGCACTGTGCTACACTGTAGCCAGCTGGAAAATGCTTTACTGTGCTTGATTATACTAGTGGTTTCCAGTACTTGACCTTGTGAAGGAAAATCTTTCATGTCATTTGTTTTAGAGGACACGTACTTTTTTTTTTGAGAGAGCGACTCTTGCTTTATAGCTCATGCTGGCCTCAACCTTGAGGTTCTCCTGCTTTCACATCCTGAGTGTTGGGATTACAGTGGTGTACTACCACACCAGGCCTTGATATGGAGGTTCTTCCCTTTTTTAATAGGCAATTTAATTTTTCTGTACAACTCTTTTTGCATTTTTTAAAGGCACATTTACATACAGTGAAATTCATTGTATAGTTACAGTTCTTCCAGTGTTGGCAAACACATTCCCACTTAACAATCCTTATGATAAAATTCCGTCTCCCTCCCACCTCCCAGTCCCTCTGTAGTCATTCGTCTTCTTCCTCCCACCTCTGGCAGGCATGATCTGTATGTTGTCCTTACTGTTTTGAGGAGGACATGTAATTTAAACAGTGTGTGACCCATATTTCTCCTGTCCTAGAAGTGGCTCACAGCTCACACTGGTCGCTTACAAACTCTTGGATGATTAACCTGTACTTGTACTTGAAGTCAAGGAAGTAGGTAGATTAGAGACAGCTTTTACTCCCACTTCACAAGTACCCCCACTATCAATATTTAAGTAGTTTTATGGATTGTAATCTTTGAAGAAAATTGCTAGTAGTACTACGACATCCCTGATTTGGATTTTCACGTATTTTGAGGCTTTTTCTAAGCTTTCCATTTCATCACATTCCTGTCTTGCATTAACCACCACTAATGATGCAGCCCTCAGAGGTTCTCCTCCTTTAACAGGAAAGAAGGCTCAATGAGTAACTAGAACAATCCTGCTGTTCCCCTGGTGAATTAGCTATATTTTAAGTGGAATAGGTTAAAGTATTATGTAAAGCTAAATTAATTTTTATCATTACTTTAATCTTGATAAACTGATTTAAGTGAGCTCCTAATAGAGCTTACCTTAATCTGTACTATAGTAGAAAATTTTAACCTTTACTGAAGGAAACTTTTAAGGAGATTCATGCTTACACCTTTAAAAATAAGAGTTCAAATGTACTGTGTATAAGTACTTATTCTATACTTCATACCTACATGCATTTTTCAGTGCTGTTGGAGACATTAGTTTGTCTTCACAAGAAATTTATGAAGTGGATATCACATTGTTGGCATTTTGGAGGTGAGAACTGTCAGGTCAAGAGGCCGAGTAATTTGTCCAAGTTCACATAGCCAAGTAGGTTGCAGAGCCACTGGTCTCCTTCCCTGTTTCTCACGCTTGTCTTTATCACCCTGTCTTTACCTGCAGTGTGAGGCCTCTCCGTAATGCTGTAATTAGTGTGGTGCCTCATTTGGAACCATGAAGGGGATGCATGTGTCTTTTACCTGTGACTACTTCAGTTTTTGGCCTTATGCAGTCGGGGACTGCTTCTGCTAGATGCAGCTTTGGCGAAGGCACACATGCAGTACCATAGGTTAGATAAGGACCAGGTTTGTGTCGTAGGACTTTGTGAAGTAGGATCATTCTAAATTACTCAGAATGACTTATGAGTTATTCTATATATTGGAATCTCGTGGGAAATCGGATCTATTTTTTTTTTAAGGTACTGGGAATTGAACTCAGGTCCTCATGGTAGACACTTTATAATGTTAACCAGACCTCCAGCCCAGGAAATTGGATCTACAGTTGGTCTGCTTTGGGGGAACCCAGAGATCTTGGGAATGAGTTAAGAAATACATTGAATTTAGCATTTTGGACTGCTCCATTGTTGTTATGGACAGTTTTTGACCCAAACTGGAATATATGAAAACTTTTTATGTTTCCTGAGCACTCTGAAATAAACTGCTAAGGTACTACCTGGATTTGCTGCTTTAATGCAGAGTATAGCATTTAAAAATGTCCACTTTGTCTTTGGCTGATCGGCCCATTCCAGTTTGACCTCACCTCTGTCTCCACAGGCTCACAGTGATAATTGAATGCATACTGCTTCTTTTAATTGATACTGGATAGCCCTTAGCTAATTTCAGCAGTAAATTAAAATTTTAACCTGAAAAGAGTACATGAACTTTTCTATAAAAATATTTGCATGTGTGTACAACTTACGCTACATGAATGGGGCTAGGTCTTTTTGTTTATTTATTTATTTGTTTGTTTTTACGGTACTGGCATTTGAACTCAGGGCCTCATGCTTCTTAGGCTTGAGCCAATCTGCAAGCCCATGAGGCTGTTCTATGAAAATAGTATTTGATACCAAATAAATTAAATCTTGGAATAGTTAGCAGAAATAAAAGAATTATTATCAAATCTGCTTTTAGCAGATGACTTTGATCTTAAACTTCAATGGAATTGCATGACAAGAAGTTAAAATGATGTATGCCTTGTCTAAAAGGATTAGAAGAAGAAGTTCCACTGACTGCTGGTAGCAGCAGCATGTTCTCCTTGGCCAGCAGGCTAAGAGGAATAAGAAATGGTCTCAGTCTAATTTCTATTTTGTTTTTGTTTTTTAACTGAGGATTGAACTCAGGGCCCCGTGCATGCTAGGTAAGTGCTCTGCCACTTGCGCCACGCCTGCAGCCCTACTTCTGTCTTTTTAGATGAAAGACTCCATATTGCTAGAATACATATTTGTATGGCCATTTGGTTGACATGATCTAGAAATTGGTTCCTGTGTCCTCAGAGAAAATTGTGTGTATGTGTGAGTTGCTGCTTGCTTGCTTATTGATTGATTTCTTGATTGATTGAGAGAGGGTCTCTCTGTGTAGACCAGGCTGGCGTCTTTTAAACTCACAATCTTCTGGCCTCAGCCTCTTGAGTGCTGGGATTATAGACATATACCACTGCACCTGACTGAGTGCCACTTCTGAGTGTCAGATTTAA